ATGACTGATAACAAGTGCTGAATTTTGGCTTTTGGCGGACTTAACTGTGAACTCTTCTGTCCGTCACTGGAGTTCGTGTTTGCACCTGTGTCTCCAGAAAGAATTGAAAGATAATTTTTTTGACAGCAAGTAGCAGGCGAGAGAAAGGTACTTTTCTTTTCTGATCTTTAATAGTGTTATAAAATACTTGAAGTTTTGAAGTCTTATGTAAGAGAGAAGAGATATTTTACGGGACAACTCTTCAATATCATCATACCCTTCATATTATTGGGTAACACACTTAGCAGTTTCACATCTGGGAAAATTCCCAAACGCTAGACATGGCCTGTTTTATTCATTTTAATTTTACATTATTCAGCATTGCGCCCTCGTTCAAGAGTTAACGTGTGGAAATCAAACTGTCCGTGATTAACTAAGTGATCGCTCCGTTTTTCTGCATACACGCTTTCATACATTGATCAAGTATTGATCACTGTTCATTCTCTGTTTTACGTTTTCTCGGTATCTTTCCCCACCATGATCAGAGATCTTAATTAGCAGTGAAGAAAATTCAAAAGTTAACTGGCGCTTCAAATATTCGTAGCGGTAAATTTAAATTAAACTGGCGCTTTATTACAATACAAGGACAACTGCCAAAAAATTTTGTGAGTTTAATATTTACTAAAACGACCCAGCTAAGGATCATTCTTTACCAGAACGATCTGAACGTCTCCGTAGTAATGTTATTTCGTGTTCTTTGACTAACGATAGCGTCCCCGTGAAAAGTGAATAACTTACGCAAAATGATAATGTCATACTCTAACAATTTTCATTATGACGATACAGTCTTGGCTTTTGGTACGGCCGATTCTGAGAAATCAAATAGAACTTTTCTTAGAAAACCGGAAGCCGACATCCTGTTCCAAGTTGATTTGTCAATCATGCGACATGACTAATCTGGATTTCCCTCGGACAGACTGAGATCCCAGGTTCAGACAAAGGTGAGAGAGCCTGGGATAGAGGTTGGGTACGTCATTCAGACATGACGTCTGTTTACTAGATTACAGGTCATGTACAGGTTAAGAACAACGAAAAACAAGGCATGTCTTTTGTAGTTGCCATAGAGCAGTAATACAGGCCACCTTTTGAAACTCGGAATTGACTTTGTAAGATGTTGGTTTAGCCAGGCTATGTTGGACTACGATAGTAATGAGGTTTCAGCATGGAAAGTACCTAGTCTGGTATAGGGTAGGGGATTTTGGTGCCTAGTCTAGAATAGGATTACAAAATCAAGCTGATCATGGTCTAGGGCAAGGGTTTAAGTGTCCTAGCAGCACATCCCTTCCCAAAGATTTTCAGAGGCCCCTCACACGCCTGGCCCAAGGTATAGCAACAGGATCACTGAAACAGACAAGAGTTTGTCTTATGTATGGAGTGCATGATCAAAGCATAACACTACATGTATAGGAGAACTTCATTTCTCACATCACCCCAGGGAACTTGATTAACGGTCGCAAAACACGTTTGGCACTTTATGTGCGCGAAGTTTCCGCTTGTAAAATCGAAAGTACATGAATATTCTACTAAATTTGCCAGTGGCGANGGGGGGGGGGGGGGGGGGGGGGGTGTTTTGCTTGCCCCGCCGGCTTTCCTTCCTTCTCTGATTTCTTCTTTTTTAACCCAACCCCTCCCCTAGATCCGCCACTGTTCGTCTAGAATAAACATAAGCTGTTGAATACGTGCTAAAGGTCAATCGATGGCGACTGCATGGATTTTTATGGCTTGATCCATGTGAATGAACTTGATGCCTTTCCCTTGTTTCGTGTCACATAAATTTCAATTTTATCTGTATCTCAGTTGACTGTTAAAGTAATCACGCGAATATTTACGCCGGAAAATAGTTTTAACATTTGTTCTGCATCATTTAACGTTGTTCTTGTCTACTGAGAAACCGTCGCCTTTTCTGAGAATCCGTGACATTAAAAGAGTACATGGATGATTTCAATGTCAATTTTCACTGTTTTTTTTCCCTGTGGTTTTTCTCTTGCCGTCACTGAAAGAAACATGCCTAAAATGGATCCCATTAATGAGCCGGATTTGTGCTTTGGGTTCATTTTCTTGGAACTGGGAATTAATAGCGGGGAGCATGGAAAGGCTATAATTACCCAGAAATTGTTGAACAGTTAAATCTTCCAAAACACGCTTCATGATGGAACCATTTCTAAGAAAACCGGAAGAAGAAACGTGGGCAATTTTGATTGGTTAGTTATGCCTAGCTGTAAGTTGTTTTGGTCATGTGATACAAATGATGATCTGTTATTGGGTAACAAGTTTTACAGTGACATATCAGTTCAAATTCACAGACGCTGGGCACGGTCTACTTTTACATTCAATATCGTTCGAGAGGTAACGTTTTTGAAGCAAACTTCGTGATCAGCTAAGCAAACTTCAATCCCTGGATCGCTAAATGGCTGCAAACGACGCCAGAAAAGGGAACGTAGTCATCTTCCAATAGCAGGATGGTCACATTGGGGGCAGGCCATGGTACCCACTTTTCGCGAGGGTGTTGATGAGCCACGGGGACCAGGTCAAGATGGCTTCATGTGCTCAAGCATAAGGACAGCTTTTCCTGATCAGGCCCGACACTGTGGAATTTACGAATGGGCAGCTGTGGGAACATTGCGCGGTCAACCCGATAACAGAGTCGTTGTATATATTGGAAGCACATGTAGGGACAAGCCAGGAACATTAAGACGCAGAATCCTAGAATACTGCACAAATGGATCCCATAAAGAAGATCTCATTAATGAGGCCTTGCACAGAGGGTATGAGCTCTGGGTTCGTGTTAGAATTGTTGAAGGAAGCAATCCTAGCAGGAAAAATGTTGAAGCCATGGAAAACTCATTTTTAGCTAGGTATGACTATGCTTGGAACACTAGAAACAACGGACATATACGAGATATACTTCCATGATGTCAACACTCCTATGGAATGGACAGCAGGATCGTGACATTATTGATCTGACTGAGTGAGCTAAATTAACTTTCGCCTCGTATTAGAAGGCATCTTTTAAGCCACGAGTTTTGCTTTATTACATCGAGTAATTTATGAATGGCGAGCAAAGGTTTTCTGTCGGGCGTTCAGTGTATTTTAGACATAACCAAAAAGCTGAATTTTGGCGGGCTCCGGCTGTGTGGATACTGAGGTGGTCCGTTGTTTGATCAGCCATATATTGTAAATAGGCTGCACTCTTTCTGTCAATAGCGAACAGAAGATCGTTGTACCTAAGTGGAGTTAAGCTTATGAGTTTTATTTCATTTTCAGTTATGCTTTCGGAACTAAGATGATGTTGGTTATATTTATATTTGATTTCGAGGAAAAAATGATCCGCGACATGTTCAAAGAAAGCAGTCACTGAAACAGTCAATTCCCAACTTAATGTCAGGTTTTTACATTTATATTATCGAGTGGAGAATACTCTTTCCAGCAGAAAACATACATAAATTCCAATTTTTAGCAAGCGCTTCACTCGGTAAGCTACAACATTATGTCGAGTGCTTTTTCTCGGAACTTACCTGACGTCATCGTTGTTTTCAAGAGCCTGTCTCATACATACATGATCAAAGCATGAGCGGGCTAAAGAAGCCGTACATTTCTAACGTTTTCTCTTGAAACATGATTAAAGTTGACACTATATGTGCGAGAAGTTTTCCGAGATCGGGCGAAAATCGATAGGTACGGTCATAACTCATGAGTATTCTTATAAATCTGCTTTGAATATTGATGTCAACACTTGAGTCAATTGATGGTGACTACAAAGAGTTTTATTATTAGGATGATCGGAATGCACTTGATGTTTTTACTAATCAGTCCATTATTTTGTGTCGCAAGAATGTCAATTTCATTTGCGTCCCAGTTGACTATTAAAGTAATCACATACCTGTTTACGCCAAGGAAAGCTTTATCACTACATTTGTTCTGCATCATTTAGTATCGTTCCTGTCTTTCCAAGAAAAATGAAAGGGGCGGAATATTTTTAGGACAGCAGAGATTACTGTTTATCTATTTACTAATATTTTAATCAATGAGAGCGGTGCCAGTAGTCTCATTTAGATGCTTAGCTTCTTGGTGGAAAAGGGCTAAACACTAAAATGTTGTCCCCCTGTTAAGATTAGAAAGCTTCGATGAACATGCTAAACAATGCTTTTTCTCGGAAATGGGAAACCCTCACCTTTTCAATTCCAAGAATCTGTAAATAATGCTGACTTAACTCGTAATAGAGTACATGGACGATTTCATTGTCAGTGTTTACTTCTCCCCTCCCTAATGGATTTTCTCCTGTCGTTACAGAAAGAAAAACTATGCCGAAAAAATATTGCTTTCGGAATTCCATAAAAAGTAGGGCTGCGGTCTTGGATCATAAGCATTTGTGGTGTTTGGGTTTCATTTTCTTGGAACTGATGAACTAACGTACAGCTGGCAGCCTCGCTTTACTAGGGCGAACAATTAAAGGAAAATAAGAGAAAGAAGGTGTTACCTCTATATATTCGTTAAATGACTGATGACAAGAGCTGAATTTTTGCTTTTGGTGGACTCAACCGCTTTGAACTTCTTGATTCGCTCTTTCGTTTCTGTATCCATGTATCCAGTAGGAACTGAAAGACTGCTCTGTTTACAGCAAGTAGCGGGCGAAAGAAGGTTATAATTAGACTAGTTTGAGTGTTTTCTTCTTTGATCTGTAATATTTTTGTTAATTAAAATACTAGAAGTTCTCATTGCACTGAGTCTTACGTAAGCGAGAAATTAAGATATTTCTATAGATAAAACGCTAAAAATTCCCAAACGCTGGACATAGCCTATTGTATTCGTTTGATTTAATATCGTTCAAGGGGTAACGTTTGGAAGCCAAACTGGGCTGTTCGCTCCGGTATTTTGCGTACATATGATTTCAAAGCAGGTTAAACAAGTATAGATCGCTGTTTCCCTACCATGATGAAAGATAAAAAAAAAAAAAACGGTGAACAACGTCTCACTAATGTTAAAATTTCGTGTTCTTTGACTAATTACGCGTCCCCGTGAAAAGTGAATAACTTACGCACAATGAGGATGTCAATGCTCTAGCAATTTTCATTATGACAGTGCAGCTTTGTATTTTGTTGCGATTCTGAGAAATCAAATGGAACTTTTCTTAGAAAACCGGAAGAACATTCTGTGCCAAGTTTCTCGGTCATTCATGCGACGTGACTTAACTGTAACCCAGATCTCCCTCGGACAAACTGAAATTTTTGCGGCGCACCTTTTCCTTTGAGAGAAGAAAGTCTTCTTCAAGGCAAACAAAGATGCGGATAGTCATCGTGGAAGAGGGCCACGCTGAATCCAAATTCCAGTGACAGGAATTTGGAGCCACGCGGTTCAAATCAAGTTGGATATATGCGGCTCGAGCACTGGAACCGCTCTCAGTGAGCCGGACTATTTCTGTGGAGTCAGTGGGAATGGAGGACAAAGGATCGAAAAGGAACTCGACCTAGACAGAAAAATAATCGTTTAAAGCTGTCTCGAGAAATGTTGTTCTACAAAAGCGTAAAATCGGAAGCGACAATTAATGACGAAAGATATTACGGGTGGTCGAAATTCAAGCTGTTTTCCGCCAGTGAAGGGGCAAAAATCGCCCTGAAATTAAACACCGTGAACTTCGATCAGCCAGCCGTTAACTACTCTCTACCCAAAGTACCGTTCGGTATTGTTGCGTGCGCTTTTACACTTTCGTAAGACAACCTTTCTCGAAACAGCTGTATATAAGAAGCTCATGCTCACGTCTCTGTCGCAAGTCTCGTTAATTGGAGAGTAGAATCATTCGATGTTGCAAATCCTGAATTCTTAAAAAAGATCTCATAAACAGAGCATTGAAAACTGAGAGGGGATGAAACGTGGGCTTGTGTTTAACATGTTACCTGCGAGAAGTATGCCTAAAACAAGGAGAATGATTTTTGAGGTATGCACGTGTAAGCGACACAACGGACAGTAGCAATTTATGCCATCTTGCAAGGACTGGTTGAGGTTGAAGGGGAAGGAGTGGGAGAGAAATTTATCAAATAATCAAAAGAATACGTTCATTTTCCGAATTATTTTACGTCGTGAATGGTTTCTACATCCAAGAAATGTCGCTGTCAAAAATCCCAAAAAATACAAGGACACTCCTCTGGGATCAAACGCAGCTCACCCCATCCTCGCAAGCTAATTGACATTCTTGTTATGTTGCATATATTTAGAATCTGTGTTATAAGAACTGGAAAATAACATAATGATAGATATATATACTAAAGTGTCTGGTTATTCACGCGTTCCATTATTCACGTGTTCCACGATCCCACGTTATGCGTGAGAAACGCAGATCAAACAGGCTGAAAACCAATAGGTTTAGCGCGCCAACCCTGTTTGAAAACACTACGAAGTGAGTCCTCCTTGGTCCTAGTCATCAAATATGCACAGGCACTGTCCGTGGCTTTTGGACACACTAAGCGTGTCGTGTAAACACGCTGTGAGCGTGCTATCACCTTTGGCAACAAAGTACTCGTATCATTATGATAACCCGGTGATGTTCACTCTTATTCCGAGGGTACACACGAGCACGAGGCCATGCAGATGAGATCCGATGGTTATGCATTGCTCATGCTTCTAGGCATTCAAAGTACTGTGCAAGTTGTGCCACGAGAACGGGAATGCTCCCTACTCTGTTCCTGAAGCTCAGCCAAGCTGTGCCCAATGGCCAACGCACGATCATAATACTCTTTTGCCAGCTCCAGATCACCCAGATCAGCATGAACGTTGGCTAAATTATTGTAAGTAACTGCGACGTGAACATGGTTAGATCCGAGCTTTTTTAAATTAATGGCTAGCGCACGATCGAAACATTCTTTCGCCTGCTCTGGAACACCCGACATAAGGTGAACGATACCCAGATTGTTGTATGTAGTTGCAACGTCCACGTGCTCAGGTCCAAGCTTTTTCAAACGAATGGCCAAGGCACAATTGTAGCATTCCTTTGCTTCCTCCAGCTTATCCAATTTTCGGTACACTTTCCCCAGGTTACCATATGAAGCTGCCACGTGAACGTGCTCAGATCCGAGCTCACCAAGACGAATAGTCAGCGCATGACAGTAATACACTTTGGCCTGCTTCAAATTTCCCAGTTCAAGATGCACGTTGCCTAAGTTGTTGTAAGTGGCTGCGGCATGAATATGGTCAGGACCGAGCTTTTCTATGATGATGATCAGAGCATGATCATAATAACTTTTTGCTTGCTTCAGCTCACCCAAGTCAAGGTGAACGTTTCCCAGGTTTCCATAAGTGACTGCAACATCAACATGGTTACGTCCTTGCTTTTTCTTTCGAATGGCTAACTCACGTTCATAGTACTCTCTCGCCTGCAGAGGATCACCCAGATCTTGATGGACAGTGCCCATGTAAAAATTAGCATTTGCTTCATCTACACCACTTAATAGTTTACTACGCTTAACGAACTCTAATGCTACTTTAAAGTATTTCATTGCCGTATAGAATTCACAATGGTTTTGAGAAACACGACCAAGATTTTGAAAGATACGCGGAAAGCATTGCAAGTTCAAAGCATGGTTTTTGACAACTTTAGATATTTCTTCTTCAGAAAACAAAATTTCAATTTTTACAATCAGGGCTTTCAAATGAGGAACTATCTCCTTGTTGCTAACAAGAGAATCTAACTCATCCGAATTCCCGTCTAAGATATCGCCTATGAACTGGTCAAATGATCTGATCGCTTCAAGCTGTTGAATCATGGGATAGTCTTGAACTACAGCGTTGATGACGTCATGCACAACCTGATGCACGCGAATGTGGACGCCAGTCTCTTCTTCTTCAAGTAACAGCAGCGAACATCTTTGGATCCTGTTGCCAATCATCGCTTTATCGTCAATTTCTTCATCTACGTTGAGAATGTAATTGATCACGATGTCTAGACTCAGTGGTTTTGGCGCGCAGAGAGAAAGGAAATTGAATGTGTGACGGATAACTTTATCGGACGTCATTGCTTTTTCAACAGCCAGTGTTGTTGCAGTGGTCATGGATTCTTGGTAGCTTGCATTGGTCTCAGCAAGGATGGTCTCAGTGCTACATCGTTGGCCCTTGTTCAGCTTCTCCAGGTAGTCGTTCCAGCCAAAATTTGAAGTCACTTTGTTCTGCCGAACCTGTCTGACATAGGTTGCGGCGCTTGCTAAGGCAAGAGGCTGGAAGTCCAATGCCTGCGCAACTTCTTTTTCCATCTCGCTGTCAGCAACACCAGAAAGCATTGTCAGTAAGGAAATGGCTTCGTGAGGGTCCATGCCCTCACTTATTGAAATATGATCGATGAAAGAGCTTTTCAAAGGGATTGAGGCAGTGTCCTGTGTTGTGATTAGCAACTGGCCTCTTATCCACTGCTCGCTTCCAGGCTGCGGCAAATGAACATGCACAGATGATATGCTGGTAACGTTGTCCACTACTAGTAGCCACGACGTGTAAAGTTCGATTTTTGTGCTAATCAGCGTTTTTAAATTGGTGATCTTCCCGTTTATGTTCCCATCCTTGGCGTTCAGGGCGTTGGTAACTGCATATTCTGGACACTTAAGATGCCGCGCGAAAGAGGCGTACGATTCCAGAAGCGTGTCTAAGCTGTCGCCATTCAAAGTCATTACAAATGTGGTGGCACTCGGAACGTTGCTTACTTCGTCAAAGAATCGCTTGGCTACGAAACCGGCTAGCTGAGATTTGCCACTGCCAGGATTCCCTGAGATATACAGGTAACTTAAACCGTTTTCGTTGGCGCATCTAAGTTCTTTGAGTTGTTGCGTAATCGCATCTACTTCACAATCGCGCCTAGCGACGTCGTGTGAAGGTTTGGTAGGGAGAATGCAAAAGGGGGAAGCATCACTCTGTAACTGATCTTCAAGGACCTGTCGTTGCTCCTCCTTTTCTTGAAGTTCCTTTCCTTTTTCTTGAAGTTCCCTCTTCAGGTCTTCAACGTTGTCCAACACATTTCTTAACTCCTCCGTGGGAAAACTTGTCTGGTTTCTGATATCTTGAATTTGCACTGTGGAGAGACCGAGCCCTTGAAATGCAGTATGAACTTTACCAATGGCATTTTGAAACTCGAGGCCAGACAGATGACCTCGCGGGATGTGAGCAAACTGTTCATTGCGAAACGTTCTGAGATCAGAAACATTTGAGTACACAGCTGTGTTCAGACCATAAATGCAGTCGGAGTTAAGTATGGCGTAGAACAACATAGTGCAATCCCATTCCGCTCTGTTTCCGTTAATCATGGTAGCCAAGAGGAGGGAATTTCTTCTTTGGTTCCGAGGAGACTCCCCGTTATAAAAGTCCAGTCCATTCCGAGGCTCGTCTTTCCATTCTCCCTTAGTTGCCTTGTAGCGATTGTCCCACTCTTGTTTGAAGATTGTTCGCAGACCTTCGGCTAGTATGTCAGTGGTAAGATAACAAATTCTGTAGTAGTTTAGTTGCTCGTCATTGTATTCTGCTGCACAGGCCATGTTTAGTTTTGCATGGTTGCGATCCTTTAATTAGATTTTTAGGCTGGAGAGAAATGATATGTTCATAATTAATAAGACGAGAATTTGCGATCGCGATGCTTAATTAGTTGTAAAACAGAGGGCCGGCAAAGTTTAACCTTTTTCTTCGTCCATTTCCGGGTACACTGCAATTCATAGTACTGACCCGTTGAACATAAATTCAATCCCATAGAAGGATGTTTCATTATAATCAGTACCTTATCCACTGCTTTATCTCTGAGTGTGAGTTCTGAAAGAAATTTTGTCCTCCAAAACGCTGTTTTGAAATGGAATACAGCGTGTACTTGGATATTTTTGTGTAACTCGATATTCTCAGAAACTTGGAATCTTTCGACTTCCGGTTTACGGGCCATTCATGTAACAACTATCACAAAATTTCCTGTGTTAGGTTGCCCTATGTTTGGTTCAATTGATCCTTCTGTGAAGTTCTCTCACCCTCCCATTCCTCGCTATCTTTGGTCACTAAAAGCAACACCAAACATGAGATTTTCAAGGTCGGCGCTGATGACTGCGATCAACGTGACAACAATTTCCGCAGCAGCTCTGTTCGTCAACAGATGGCGGCGATATCGATTGAGTTCACCGTAGCTGTCTGTGAGTAAACAGCTAGTAAAAGGCTATTTAGATCGCGCACAATTCAGTACAACTAAATGCGGTTTAGTGGTCAATTTACTCGGTCTTCAGACCTGTAGATGATTCCAAGTCTTTCCAATTACTGGAATGGATCGGCTCCCACACAAACTGACGAAGGTTATTAAGTCCAAACGAGAATACTCATTTCTATTATTTTAGAATTTAACAAACCTAGCGAGCAGTAGAAATGTCGATAGATTTGGACTGAAATATGTTCTTTAATTTGCGTGCCTTACTTTCAATGTATAGACAGAAAGGAAATAAGGATCTGGGAGAAGATTTGTGTACCATGACTAGTAGCTAATGACAGTGGCATATGAAGAATTCTGTTTCGTAACGTGACTCTTAGCCGCTCTTCGGGGTACACATGACTTCCACGGTTGGCTACGGCATTTTAAAACGTTCTGACTAGGTTGCAGCTAAATAAAATCAGTGTTATAACGTATACTCACCGAAAATGTTATAGGAGTTCCCCT